GGACTTCATCCCTGTAATTAGTGTTGTAAGATTCTGTTCCATTCATAATTTCAATTTTTTGTTGTGACTCTTTAGGTGGATGACTTGGAAGAGGTCAGTGAATATTACCAAAATAGAGGCTACTTCAATGAGCTCATTTCTCTCATGGAGAGCGGTTTAGGATTAGAACGGGCACATATGGGCATCTTCACTGAGTTGGGAGTTCTATATGCTAGATATCGTCCCGAGAAACTTATGGAGCACATCAAACTCTTCTCAACACGCCTCAATATTCCAAAACTCATCAGAGCTTGTGATGAACAACAGCACTGGAAGGAACTCACATATTTGTATATTCAATATGATGAATTTGATAATGCTGCAACTACCATCATGAACCATTCTCCTGAAGCATGGGATCACATGCAGTTCAAAGATGTTGTCGTCAAAGTTGCTAATGTTGAGTTATATTATAAGGCTGTTCACTTCTATTTGCAAGAGCATCCTGATCTCATTAATGATGTCCTGAATGTCCTTGCACTTCGTGTGGACCATGCACGTGTTGTTGACATAATGCGAAAGGTAGCATAAATACTGGCAGATATTCCACTTTATCTCAGTTTATAACAATTTCTCAGGTTTTGCCTCTAACAAATGTTATACCACAATGTACTTTAGGCTGGTCACCTGCGTCTTGTGAAGCCATACATGGTTGCTGTTCAGAGCAACAATGTCTCTGCTGTTAATGAAGCATTGAATGAGATCTATGTTGAGGAGGAAGACTATGATAGATTGCGTGAATCAATTGATTTGCATGATAACTTTGATCAAATAGGCCTTGCACAGAAGGTGAGCTGCACTTCTGATACATGGGAACCATTTCCTAGTTTCAAATTGCAGAAACCTAACAGATTATTTTATGCATGCAGATTGAAAAGCATGAACTTCTTGAGATGAGACGTGTTGCTGCTTATATTTACAAGAAGGCAGGCCGGTGGAAGCAGTCAATTGCCTTGTCAAAGAAGGATAACCTTTACAAAGATGCCATGGAGACAGCCTCACAATCTGGTGACCGTGAGCTTGCTGAGGAGTTGCTTGTATATTTCATTGAACAGGTACCATACAGAGTTCTATACATCATAATTTTACATTCACTTTCAATCTGGTCCTAGAGGGAACCCAAAATAAAACATCTGAGCGATATTATTTTATTTAGGGTAGACTATATTGCTCTGTTATAGATGCTTCAGTGGAACACAATTCACTTAATGGCTAAAAGAATCCAAGCCTTTGTGTGTGCATGTGTTTACACACATAACTAGACTGATCCATTCTTCTTCTGCTTGTTTTTTCTAGTAGCAATTAAATATCCATATTGCTGGTTGTGGTGTTTCTCGTACTAATGTGCGATTATTGGTTGAATGGAAAATTTGTTAGCAGCTGTTGTTATTTTTGTCATCTTTGTCAAGCGCACGCGCACACGTATATTTGTTGGGAGTCTTATTCTCAGTTCTATAAGAGATCATTATTTAACTTTCGTAGTCAATGATCCACTTTCATTATGATTGATGTTGATATAGGTTGCATGGCGTCAATATATTCTTACAGTTCTTTTCCTATGCTCATGCAGGGAAAGAAGGAATGCTTTGCCTCATGCCTCTTTGTTTGTTATGATTTAATCCGGGCAGACATAGCTCTTGAACTTGCTTGGATGAACAATATGATTGATTTTGCCTTCCCATATCTCTTACAGGTTTGTTTTCTCTCTGGTAACTGTTTCCTTGTATCAAAGAATTTATGACCTTTATGTTCTTTTATGTTGTAATATTAGGCCTCAGACTGACAGATACAAACAGGATGGTTCCCTCTGGCCCCTTCGCCTATTTGGTGTCCCAAAAGTAGTGCTGCCTGTTAATAAAGCCTTAGTTCATAGGGAGTGAACTCCAGTGTCTACAAAAACTGACATCTCTTGTACTACCTTCAATCATTAGTATAAGAGCTAGATAACTAATTTGCGAATATTAAAAAAATTAGTTAAATTAGTTATTTGTAATAAATGGATGTTGTTTTTCCTAAAATGTCTTTATCAATTATGCGCATTAAAATACTTTCATAAAAAAACTCCTTAACATGTCACTATAGGGATTACTTAGGGGCAAAATGGATAAAAATTAAAGACAAAGTGGATTGGGTTTTTATATTTAGAACCAAATTGAATATCTAACTAATTCTTATATTAAGGACCGGAAGTAGTATTGACTAGTAACTATTTCAAACAGTAGCTTTGAACTACTTTTCCATGAATTATCACAAAGTGATTTTTCTAGCGTCTGATGCATGTTAGTTAATTGAAAAATGGGCTGATAATAGGCAGCACTTTTGCAATGGAGTGATGCTTGTCTTATGCATAATGCAAATTATATGGTTTATTTCATGTGCTTCACTTGTGCCTTTGCCTGGGATATCATAGAAAACATGGGATAAGTCATGTATTTTCCTCAGCTTTTCATGCAATGGTTTGCGTTTCTCTCCATCAATATCTGGGCAGCATCTGTTCACACAATATCTTCTTTCTTCTTGTAGTTCATACGTGAGTACACTGGTAAAGTTGATGAACTGGTGAAGCACAAAATTGAAACGCAAAATGAAGTGAAGGCTAAAGAGAAGGAGGAAAAGGAAGTAATCGCACAACAGGTAATCACCTTGGCAATTGCCAGTTGCCAGCTGAATAGTTGTGTTGAACTTTCTGACTTGCACGTTTCTGCAATTTGACTCCTCAGAAGCGAGAATATCTTGCTACTGATAATTTCTATTCTTGTCGCATGCCATTTCGCATCAGATAGGACATTAGGTTAATGCTGATTCAATGTGGTGTGTTTTCTGTTGCAGAACATGTATGCTCAGTTGTTACCACTTGCGTTGCCTGCACCCCCAATGCCAGGAATGGGGGGAGGGCCAGGAATGGGAGGAGGTTTTGCTCCTCCGCCTCCTCCTCCACCTATGGGTGGAATGGGGATGCCTCCGATGCCACCTTTTGGCATGCCACCCATGGGCAGCAGCTACTGATATGGGAGCAATTAACCTATTGCACAAGCAACTAGGCAGCTTGATTTCCACATGGGATTCTTGTGGGACTTGTCTGCAGAAAGAAAAGCATAATTCCTATGGGACTTTGATGCAGGCTACAGCATGCTTTCCTGGTTTCTGATGGACGTGGACATTCTAGTTACGATAGTTTCATGTTTTTCTTGGGGGGTTTTGTGGCATGGGGATAGGGTTGTGCGTCTTGTGATATTTTTGTAGTCGAGGCTTTTCGTTTTTTTGGGCTGCCATACGAGTTAGCCTAGAATTTCTTTAATGTACCCTTTTGTCTTGTATTCAATGAATTGGTCTCAAGTATAATACAAAGCACGTCGACTTCAATAGCTAGCTTGATAATTGATATGCATGTATGATCTGCAGATTATTATTTCAGCTTTCCTTGTTATGGATGCTGCATAAATAAAGCTTGTTCAGATATTGTTTGTTGGATGCATCTTTTCATTGAGTTGCGACTTGAATTCAAGTGGCACTGTTTGAGCATGTTGAAGGAGAAGCATGCGTGCAATTCGTTCATTTTTGTCAAAATAAGTTGTTACAAGGAGTTCCTCAATTTTAGTATTTGGACTTAACTTGAAATGGCTTTATGCACGCAATTCTGTCTCTCAGCACCTAGCATCTTGGTGTCATGCAGCCAGTCATTTTAAAAGTAATTTTACAGTATACAAAATGAATATATGAATGAAATTGTATGAATTTATCAAAAAAATACTTCAAAGTAATTTTGGGGTGTTCCAAATACTTGGGCAAAGGTATTGTTATTTGCCCACGCTATTATATCTGGACCAGTTGTTAGCCGCTTTCGTCATCACTACTACTTGTGAAGTGTAAACGAGTGCCGTCAAGCTCCGAGGTGCCATCAAAAATTTAGACCGAGGAGCCCATTATTAAACCTACAATGGACGTTTGTCGCAGAAAAACAAATTGTCAGGCTCCAGTTGGAGATAATTTAGCAGCATCTACCTGAACAGTCAATGGTAAAGGTTCCGCTACAATGGGTTTTACCATGATAGCTGGTATTATCCATTGCTTATGAATAATTTGATTTTCACATATTTTATAATGATGTATAGATAAAAATATATGAACTTTTAAAAAGTTGCATGTAGTATGGGGTAAATATTAATTTAATATCGTTTTTAATTCTATTTTACATATAATGATTGGAATTGTAACTTATCTTAATTTTTCAATTTTTTGAAATGCGATTGTTACAATTGATTTTATAAATATCTTTAAAAAATAAAGTAGTATTGTTTTTTTGGGTCAAACAAAAATAGTATTGTTGATAACTTAATATGGAACATTTAGTTCATTTCAGATTTCCAAATTCGCCTAACTATGGTTAAGCTTGTTTACACCTCCTCTAGAGGGTAGATCTTATAAGAGATATTATCCGGCACTAAATTTAGGCACTTCTTCTAATGATGATTCAAGCTTTAATTTGGCATGTCATAAAAGACTAGCCTTTCCGCTAGACTCAATTCCAGTTGATTAGGCTTTTCCCTTTATTCGTTTGTATTGATATTCCTCGCTTGTGAAGTTTCAGATTTACTCAACAAAAAAAAAGCCTAACCGGTGACAAACTACGACCCATTAACGCAGGATATCAGCTTTTCTTTTGCTTGTTTACTGGCCTAAGCTTTCTATGTCTCTTTTTAAATAAATTTCACTGAAAACACAAAATGAAGTCTGGGGTCAAAAGCGAAAAACAAAAGGAAGAACGCACAAGGCTGAGCGATATTTTGAGTTTTTAACGGGCTGAGGTCTGAGGCCCAGGTAAGAAAGAAATAGGCCTGAGGCCTTGTAAGCTTTCAGACTCTAATCCCTTTGTTATTGGAAAAAAAGGCCCCAGTGACATATCAACCGAAACAGAATGCGAACGCACGCGCTACACGGTGCGTGGCACCAGCAATTTCAGACCATCGATAAACGAATATAGCGTTAGCAGGAACTCAGGAAGACCACTCTTTCTTTCCATCCATTGTTGGGTTTTGAACGACCGGAAGATGGCAATTTCTTTAAATTCAGTCATGAGTTTCAACTCAACGGTATGTTTTTCTCGGCCTCTTACGTCACTATTGGTTTTAATTTAAGAGCTTTCCTATTTGGTTCTCCGTTGTAATTTGCTGAAACTGAAAGCTATCTTCCCTGCCGATCACCCTCTTGTTCCAGCTTACTGAAAACTGTTAATCACCTTATCATTCTCTTGGCATTTGTGACTGTAAATCATTTCCAGAAATAGAAGGGGTTGGTGGTATTTATGAACTTCTATTCTTTCTGTCATTCGGCTACTATAAAATCTAATTGAAGGTTCTGGCTACAGTTTATTCTACGCCACTGATAGGTTGATATTCTCCATATATCTTTGGAGCAATTGCAAGTTTATCTAAATTTTAAATATATTTAGTTGATTTCTGTCCTCGTTCAAGCTTTTTCGCCTAAGTAAATGGTATTGCGGCAACAATATTCCAGACGTCATTTTTAAGTGAAAAAAGTAATTGCAGGTGAAGCGATCGGGTCTGTAAGTGGTGTTCTCGAACAGTTATGTTGAAATTCGAACAAAATGCAGTTTTTTGGAACCTTTTTAATAGATGTGGAAATGATAAATCTTCATAAATGAGACAGAAGTTGTGAAATTATTTGTAAAAGGGAGCGGCACCAAATTGATATTACTATTTCGACATTGGGCCTTTTTTGTTCAGAAATAATTGTTATGTTTTCCAAGCAAACGAATTCATTTGTGATTTTAACATTTCAACTTTTCAGTCACTTTTCTATTATTCTTAGTTGTTTTGTGGTCTTCCGCCAATTACTCTGGTTAGTTGGTTGGATTCTGCCAGAAGAAATTTAACTGTTTTGGTCAATGTTTTTAAGTTGAACGGGTAAATGACCAAAATCTAATCAATCCTTGCTTGGCTTAGGCCAACTAAGAATTATTGTATCATGCCAACTATCTACTGCGGGCATCATGTACTCTTTTGCACCGAAGTTTATTGCGAGTCTGAAACTCCTATGAAAATGTAGCCCCTTGTTTCATGGAGGGAAAATTTGTCAAAAGAAACAGGAAAAAATGCACAGGTTCTTGTGGTGGAAGAGGGAAAGGGCTTATTTTAGTGTCGAATTTTAGATGTCCAATTGCTATTGCCTAACTCTTTAAATGACCTGCTTTGAGAAGTCTCACCAACCTGCTTTCAGTATCTGTGGCAAACAATATGGAAATCCAAAGCTTTTGTTTTTAGGCTAATCTAGAGTGCGTTGAGGTTTTGGCCAGGCACTAGGAAAGACTAACTGATAGAGGCTAGACAGAGAACATGAATTTAAGGTTCGGTTTAAGGTGTTCAGAACTTTAATTAGATGGCAAGATTAGGGTTCTCATGGAGATAAATGTAGGAATATATTTTAAGGTTTTCGCTTTACATCAGAGTACGGAGTACGAGTATGGGTTAGACAAAACACTTCATAAAGTATTGATCCACCGCAATTTCTTGTGCTGATAGCTTCTGAATCCCCTTAGGGTAAGTATACTTAGCCTACTTTGTGTTGTATCAAGCGTGAACCATTGATTGTAGCCCTCTAATGACAGCATGGCATATAATGATTTTTTGGGGTTTAGGGAGCTGTTTGATGATACAAACGGGTTTTGTACTATTGAATTGAATCTTGATGCTCCAAATGAGGTTATACCTAGAGAATTAAAAAGCACTGAGAAATAATATGATTGATTCTCAATGGTCATTCTCTATGTTTGTCATCAATCGCTTTATTGCAACTTAGTTATGGTTTTAGGCTTTTAGAAATTGTCATTTTCTTTTTCTAGTGCCTACACATGTCTTTCATTTTCTATCAGAAGCTGCAGCCCAAGTACCAGGATGCCTCAAGATACTCTGTTGGAGCTTCACTTCCAAAGGCCACTAAGTTCACACCATTCTTCGTGACACCAGCAAGAAGAATGCAAGCTAAGGAAAAACGACCTGGCACCTGTCTTTCAGTTGCAGATAGTGATCAGCTTGCAGCAGACCTCGATGGCAAAAATTCTTCTGGCGATGCTGAAAGATCAACAGCTGATGATGAGTCACCATCCATAAACCCTGCTGCAGAAAATGTCCAGTTCCAAGGTAGTTCTAATGCTAATCCTGAATCAAAATCTCAAACAGCGGAGGTTTCCAATTCATCGGCAGCATCTCCTAACTCTCAATCTACAACCAAAAAATCTCCTTTAACTGCAAGAGAGAGGCTTAGGGCAGCTCGAGTCCTAAGTAGGTACACAGAATCAAAAGAATCTTCTAATAAATCAGACATGGGAAGTAGGGTGCTGGATGCTTTGAAAGAGAGTGATCGTGGGAAGAAAAGATCAAGGCTTCCAGAAGCGCCTACAAATTTATTTGATGACAGCAATAGGGGGGTGTCCAAACCAGGATTTAACTTCCAATTTCCTGGGGGTTTTGATCTGTTTCTCATTGTCTTTTCATTTGTTTTTATCAGCACTTTGATGTTTGCAACGACTTTCATCGTCTGGAAAGTTGGTGCCATCCATTTTAATGAGTATTGAGATGAGGAGGTGGAAACAATCCATCAAACAGAGAGAAGTTGGACAAGCTTCGGCTCCTTCATGGCCTGATTAAGTGAAGTGAGAAACTGAGACCAGTTTTCTGATTATAGGCGCTTGACACTTATCTCTTAGGAAGTAGGGTTAAGATTTACTTCAAGCAGGGATGTACAAGTGAGTGATCAAATATTAGCCTGGTCTTCAAATGCCATATATATAATATATCTAGATATTTTCAATCATAATGCTTGCCTAGACCTTTCTTTCCTTTCCGTAGTTATTTATCCATATGAATAGAACAATATTATCGAAAAAGAGATATTTTATTGTAAAGTATTCAAGAATTCTCCTATAATTACTTTCTTGTTTTTTCTACAAACGACTTGAAAAGGGAATTCCTCAAAATTTATGAAGTGATTAATCTTCTAAAAGTGGACTGAATGAATTAGCTGTCACAGGAAGACCAGGGTTCGATGCGGGCGAAAAAAAACATATAATCTGTATAAAATTATGAAACCTAGCCGCACGTTAGAGGAACAAAAATCTCTTCATCATTTTTGTAAATTTTTTACGAATGCAGCGAACTGAAGACAATTAAAGCATCTAAAGTCAAGCTGTAGTACTCACGAATCATATCATAATAAAAAATAATAGATAATATGAATCACTCTTCAAACTTGCACATCTCAAACTGATGAACATGTTTAATTAGTTTGGATAATAAATTTAGGTTTAGTTGGACTGATTATGATTATTGGTACAAGTGCATGACAAGACCAAGCAGAGAAGATTGTGTACCATTTTGCTAAATTGAACCGGTTATGGTAAATGGTAGGTTACCCTTTTTTTTTTTTTTTTGTGGCTTGCTGTATAAGAGAACAAACCAAAATGTTATATACAATTTTCGCTTGTTATTCTCACGTTTCAATCAACTTTGTTTCTCTTTGCCCCACTTTGAGAGTAATGAGGGATATATCATATGAACAATAATTGGACCTATTGTGACCCCTCTCTATTTTTCTGCCTCCTAAGTTTATTTGGTACATTTATTACTATTGCATCATTATATACCATACATTCTCATATTTATCAATAGGTTATTTTTTCCTCTGAACCTCACCTCACCTGCCATATTGCTCTACCAGAAATATACTTTCGTTTTGACCCTATTTCATCAAGAGCTAAAACTGATATAGTAATAAATTTTCATAGACTATATTAACGGCAAAAAAAAAAATTCCCAAAGATTAATACCGCAACATATCAATAAAACTTATCCCTAAAGTAATTACATATCTATTTATTACCAACTTTATATCTACACAAAGTAATGGGGCCCGGAGCACATAGCTAGGCTAGCAGCAGCATCTTAATGATCAAGTCTGGTTTCTCATATTTTTATCATGAAGCCTCACTTGCCGACTGTGCATGCACATAAGTAAACACAACACACACACACACACACACACACACACACAGATATATGGAGAGGAAATGGGGCCCTGGTAATAGAGATTTCAATCAGACAAAAATGAATGAAGAGAAAGAAGGGAAATGCAAAATAACATACGGAATGAATGTGGAACCACAGAAATTGTAAGAAATGGAGGGCTCACCTCACAGACAGCAGAGAGAGAGAGAGAGAGTGGTTGATCGGAAGTCGTGTCAATCTTTTATTATGTGCTACAAAATGCGAGAGGGGAGAGAATATGGCCCTACCCTTTCATTCTTATTGATCCTTCCTTCTTTGCTTCTCAACCCACCCTCTCTCTTTTTTAACCTGTGAGTCCCACTTTCCTCCTCTCTTTCTTTCACCTTTCAATCAGATTCATGATGCAAACCAGACCATGCAACCAACCTACCTTTCACCTTTCAAATTATTATTAATGCCTTTCTTCGGTTCAATGAATATAACTTCACTTTTGGGATTTCTTTATTTGGTCTTGTATCCATCTGTGTCATTTTCTGGTCTGGCTTCCTCTTCATAAGCAAAAACAACTCTTTCATTTGAGTCCTCAAAACCTCTCTCTCTTCAACTTCAAGGCTTGTGTAATAACCTTACCTGTTGATTCCTTCATGGAAAAGCAGAAAAATGATAAGTACTATAAAAGTCGATTGGGATCTGTGTTATGCTCCACCTTCATAGATATGATACCTTTTTGCATCGTTCAAAATAGTAATCATGTGCCAAATCTTCTCTACTGTTACTATGTCAGGCTATGACGAAGCTTCAGTACGTAGTGATTCCTTAATCAACTGTGTCCACTAACCGCCTTCTCTGCTTCTAATGATATCACATAATTACGCAAATAAGATAATTCAGTGTGTTAAGCATCAATCAATAACATCTTAAACTGGGTTTGTTCGTTTGCTCAAGATTTCCTCGATATAATGGAATTCTAGTCCAGAGTTCTTAGTCAGCATGGAGACTAATTAATAATTGATATGTTACTGTTAGTCCTTCCTTTTTTTCTTTTTTCTTTTCCCTCTCTCTTTCTTCCCCCTCTTCCTTAAACTCAGATTCGTCACAGGTCCAAATCTGTTAGATTTATCTCCAAGGAAAAAGAAGAAAAAAAAGAATTCAGGTTGAGGTGACAGGCAGAAACAGACAAAAAAGATTTTCAATTTGACCAATAAAAGGTTACTGCATATCACACCAATCGCCATCAAGATAAGGAGAAAATGAGCCATTATTAGTGCAGGAAACAGTGTGTAGCTAGCTGGTGATGGAAGATGAAGAAAGATAGTAATAAAGAGCCAAAGAAAGCCAGTGAGTGAGAGAGAGATAAGGGGTTTAGAATGAATTGGTTATTTGTATTGTGAGAATGGAAAATTTCTACTATTCAAGTTCTGGTTCTAGTAGCTGGTGGCCTGTGCAGGGCTCAAACAGTGCTGGTCCTTCTCCTTTTTCAGCGCAGACTCCATTGTTGCCTCATCACATCTCTGATTCATGCTCTGTTCAGTTCTGTGATCTCCCTCATTCATGGCCTGCAGAAGATAAAGCTTCCAGTGCCTCCAAGAGCCATAGCCAAGCTGAGAAACGCCGTAGGGACAGGATCAATGCACAGCTTGCCACTCTCAGAAAACTCATCCCCAAGTCTGATAAGGTAACATCACAAACATCTAATCATAATTCTCATACTTCTTCCAGTATACTGTTCAAGGTTCCAACTATGCCATAGATTCCACCCGCTTCAAGCTCTTGACATTTTCATGGGTGGCAAAGCAGTTTCAGTCTATATGTACGATCATCTCAAGTTTAGATTTAATTTGTTCCTTGTATAAACAGTTGATGAATGGGATTTACAAGTGACAGAAGTTTAACTTTGGTCACAATGAAAAGAAATCTTAGGGTTAATAATTGAAATCTTGTTTTAGTTTGAGTAATTTACTTACACCATCAAATTTGATGGCTACTCATTATCTTCCTGTAAGTTACAAGAATCTTAAGAATTGTTCAAATTATATCAAATGGATGAACATGGTTGAGTCTGACGAGTGATTTTAATTAACAGAATTGATTTCATAAATGTTATTGATGGGCCATAACTGACAGCTTCGCGAACAATAATGAATGGATGTGGTTGCAGATGGACAAGGCAGCATTACTGGGGAGTGTTATAGAGCATGTGAAGGATCTGAAACGAAAAGCCATGGATATAGGCACATCCTTCACAGTCCCTACAGAGATCGACGAAGTTTCAATAGACCAAGACGAAAGCTCAAGTTCCATCATCAACAACAACAATACCAATGTGAATTACAAAGTGGAAGGAAACAACAACATAATGATCAGAGCTTCAGTTTGCTGTGAGGATCGACCAGAACTGTTCTCAGAACTCATCAAAGTTCTCAAAGGCCTGAGGCTCACAGCAGTGAAAGCTGAAATAGCAAGCGTGGGAGGCAGAATCAAAAGCGTATTGGTACTGTGTTCTAAGGACAGTGACGATAATGTTTGTGTGGCCACTCTGAAGCAGTCTCTTAAATCTGCCGTCACTAAGATTGCTGCTTCATCCTCATCAATGGCTTCTGCTTGTCCTGCAAGAAGTAAGAGGCAGAGGTTCTTCTTGCCTTCGCCATGCCTCCACTGATACTTTATTATTTTTCTGAGGGCAAATCTATTTGGGTGTTGCTTTTTTTTTTTTGGCAATATTTATCACATATATATAGTTTTTTTTTTCTTTTAAGATTAATAACGCTTCATTCCTTGCTTAAATTATATAAAAAAAGGATGTGTGGAATTAACCTCTTCTACGTGAGTTCCAATTCTACTTTTACTTTATGGAAAAGGCTTCGTATGTATTACTTATATAACATGAAAAAATATTCAATGTATAGTACTTCTATACAAAATAACCACTGTATTAAAGTTATTATTCTAAACAAAAATTAAAATAGAATGCTCAGGAATTTTTTTTTTCTTGAATTGCAGTTAATATTCTGATTATCTTATAATTTGAAAAGTGATCTGGGTATATTTTATATAAAAAAAAAAGGAAGAAGATTGGTGTAATTTAAACAAAATAATTTATCTTTTTATTTCTAGTATTTATTAGATTCTTTTCGGAACTTTCTTGAGGGGTTTTTTCCCCTCATATAGATGATCTTATAAAGAGATTCTCTAACATGGGGTATTCATATGAATATGATTAGACCAAATCGAAGTAGATTTGTTAATATTTATCGTTAAAAAAGTAAAGATCACGCTTTAATAGTTAATATGGACATATCACATATCGGTGGGGTTGGAGTTCTAATGTGCTGATAAAAGTTATCAAGGACAGAGGATCAAACTTTTTCCAATAATTTTGGCGTACCACCGATTAAGGCAAAGTTAAATAGAGGAGATTATATTGAGAGAAAAAATCGATGAGATTATATTTTTAGTGGGGCAAAAGACAAAACATAAAAAGAAAGTTCAGTGCTTGCGGCCACTTGATGCTTCCCAGATAAACTTGAGAGAATTTAGAGAGAGAGAGAGAGAGAGAGAGGCACTTTCATGATGAAAGATCTAGGACGATAAAGCAAAATTGAGTGAAAGTAAGAAAAGAAAAATCCCCGCTAATCTTTTTTTTGTTTTTTTAAAGAAAGCTTTGCTTTTTATTCCATTAGCTTAGTAACTAGAAGTTGAATATTTTTTAAATCACATATAAAACTAAAACTGTTACTCTTACAATAGATATAAGTTCTTAATACAAATAATAACTTGGTTTCGATCGGTTCGTATACACGTACAAGAGAAGAGGCCTTTGAAAATGGTATTCTCACTTACAATTGTCTTGATCTGTGTATTAGTCAAAATCTAACTTGGTTTTAAAATACTCCCATGTTGTTTTTATAAAATATAAATAATCAAATTACAGAAATGAAAAAAGTTGCTAACATTTATTAAAGATTATATTGAATATATAAAAAATACAACTTATCTCTAAAAAATACTTTTATTTATGGAGTGACAGATGTATAAGAGAGATAACGAAGAATAGGATAATTAACATAGTAAAACTGCTAAAATGAATGATAGTGAAAATAAAAATTGATATTAACAATTTTAATCCAATCATTAATTAATGTCTTCTATAAATTAAAAAATTAATTTTTTTAAGGGAAAAAAAACTTACATAGAGGGAATAAATAATACTACTTCCGGTCCTTAATATAAGACCTTATTTGGTTTTTATTTTGATCCTAAATATAAGACCCCAATCCACTTTGTCTCTCATATTTATGTTTTTTCAAGATAGTCCTCCTAACAATAGTAGTTATAGCCAATACACTTAACTAGTAAAGATATTTTAGAAAAGACAACATATATTTATTACAAATAACTAATTTAATTTTTTTTTTAATCTCTCAAATTAGTTAACTAGTTTTTATAATTAGGATACGGAGGTAGTAGTAATAATAAGAGTGAAGTGGGTGGTCGAGGAGGAAAGTAGGGGTTGTTTGTTGGTATTTAATTGAATGGAACGGGGAGACAGCTTCTGGGGTAACATGATACAACGTTTGACTTTTAGAAATGATGAAGCGATGATCAATAATATGAGAGAGGAAGTGATAAGGTTGTGCATTCTATTGCATTGTATGGTCCCTAATATTCACCACCCCTTAGCTTTTTCAATTAAAACCAAAATTAATGGCATTGAGATAAAGCCGTCCTATGGGGCGACCCGGTACGTCCAGCAAACCAGGGCCGGGGGATCGGGTCAGGTTGGGCTTTCGCATTGGGGGTGGTCCGGGTCATGGGGGGTGGTACTGGGCGTGTATTTCAAGGGTAACACCTATTCTGTGACCCTTAGTCCATTCCAGTTTTTGCTCACCCTTAATTACCTTAATTAACTATGTTATTGCTGCTACGGGAAATTTATATACTCCTTCGATTTTAAATATAAAATTCATTTTATAATATAAATTATATTACTAAATGGATTTTATATTTAGAGAATGAGGAGTATTATCTATCTTACATTGCAAATTACACACATATTCATATGTTGATCTCTAAAATACTAAATTAGGAATTGGTTGCTTAATTGAAGTTTTTGTATGGTGTGTAGAGCAAAAGTTATTGAAGTTGCATTATCATATACAGCATTATATTCGAGTATATTTTTAATTTGTAATATATATATATATTTATTTATGATGCAGTTATAGTCTTATAGATGCAATAGTATATGGGAGCGCATATCTCTGTTATTGTTTAATCCGTAAAATGCTAGGATATCTCTGTAAGAATGCTTGCATGGACTCTCTTGTGTATCAAGAAAAAAAGAATGCTTGCATGGACATTTGATGCCAGAAGAAATGGCGGACTCACTCAAATGTATGAGAACACATTGTTCTTCAATATGTTTTTCTTTTCTTTTTTTTTTTTTGCGAACATGTTCTTCAACATCTATACATACACACGCACACTAAGCAATGGATTGAATTGATAATTTTTTTTAAAAAAAATTTCTCTATCAATATTTATAAATCATTCTCACACCTGGCTTCTTTTTTTCTCTTTCTAATGATAATTAAATAAAGATAAAATTAAAAAATAATTATTAAATATTCTACAAGTGATATATAATAAAGATCAAGTACATAACTAAACATATGTGCGGCATAACGAACCAAAATTATTAATAATAACATGCTACTATTATGTTACCTTTGTTAATGTAAGCATGATACGCATGTCTAACTGTAATAACAACTGACAGTTACTATTCCGTTCCCATCCACTCGCCCTTCGCCTAACTTCCTTCAACTCTCTTTTAACGCATCCCTCGTCACCTCAACGGCTCAACTAATCCCTTCACACCATCTACTGAACCCATTAATATCATCACTCAATGTATATGTGTTATCTAATTTATAAAAATAACAAGCTAATACCATTATTATTCCCTAAAATTAAAATAAGTAATTTAAATTCTTCAAATTTGACCCCATTTTTATTTTATTCATTATTTTAAGAACCAAAAGAAAGACAGATTTTAAAGATAAAAAATATCGATTTCAAATTTTAAAGACCAAAACTAATTATATATCTGTTGCTTGTATATCGCCTGGGGTCCGCATTTGGTGCTCATCAAGTGATCAGCATCCAGTGCTCATCACCTGATAGCAATCTGAACTGTCCAGATCTAATATAGATGGTTCAAACTTAATATTTTTAAAATTTAAAACAGAAAAAATTATATTTTTAAAAATAATAGTTAAGAGATTATCTTTATTTTTTACCCTATACCTATTAAAATAATTATTTTTAAAAATTAAAAATTAAATTAAATCTGAACGGTCTAGATCCGATCTAGACGGTTCAAATCCGATGAGCATCGGGTGCTCATCAAAACTGATAAGCACCCAATGTAAATCCATATTGCCTGACTTTGTATAGTTTATTTTGCAGTGAGAATTATCCATTTCATTTAAGGAAAAAAAAGACCAAAACTCAAAAAAAAAAAAGGCAAGAAGATTATTAATAAAAAAATAAATTGCACTCAATTTTTCTCCCAATTCCCTCCAGTGCACAATCTAGTTTGACTAATATGTAAAGCACCGAAATTCATTAATAAAGAAGATGCAAAATACCGTATACAAGAGAACAACTACAAAATCAGCCCACTTCCTTGGACATATTTTAGGGAAAACCGTTGGCTGAATCGGTAACTAAAGAGCGAGAAGTTATAACTTCCATTTCTGCTTCTTAAACCCTCGAATTAAATGCTAATATATATAAAACCCACAGAAGACAGGGAAGAAGTTGAGGAACAGAAACAAATGCGTTGGAAGTTGGAACTTGACGAGACTCGATTTACGGTTCATCTCAACAACTCTCCTCCTCCTCGCATATCCCCTTCATTGCCGTTACTCATCCCCACCACAGTTATAATACCCTGTCTCTCTCGCACTTTCTCAAACAGCTTCGGGGGCCTATAATGGGTCTCACAGCAAACAACGTCGCTTCCGATCGGGTGAAAGGCTCTTGGAGCCCCCAAGAAGATGCCACTCTCATCAAGCTCGTCCAGCAGCACGGCCCTCGCAACTGGTCTCTCATCAGCATCGGCATACCCGGACGCTCCGGTAAGTCTTGCAGGCTCCGATGGTGCAATCAGCTTAGCCCCGGCGTACAGCACCGCCCTTTCACTCCCGCGGAAGACGCCATCATCGTCCAGGCTCACGCCATCCATGGAAACAAGTGGGCTACCATTGCCCGTCTCTTGCCCGGGCGAACGGACAACTCCATCAAGAACCACTGGAACTCCAGCCTGCGCCGCGGCCGTGCGGCGGAAACGTCGAGTGCGTCCGGGTCCTCTAAGTCGGACTCTATTATGGTAATGAAGAAGCGGCCGGAGCCTTGTGAACCCCCGAACGCATCGGACATGTGGCAGTCGGGGCAGCAATCGAAGCGACAATGCCTCGGGAGAATTTCGCCGGAAAACAATAGTTATAAGGATCCACTGGTGGGCCGTTTAACGACATCGTTGAGTTTGTTACCTCCAGGAGATAAGGTCGATAACAAAGTGAAAGAAGAAAAGGAAGAACACGAAGATGAAGATAAAGCCAAGGGCGAAGGTGAAGGGAGTGAGAGTGGGAACCGGAAGGAAGAGGAACAGGCAGGCTTGGTGAGGATGATGAAGCGCTTGATAGCAGCGGAGGTTAGGAATTACATTGATAGTCTGCGGGCCGATGATAAGCTCATTCTCAGAACTGGGCTGGGCCCTCACATGGACCCATCTTCTTCCCAGAAGTAAAACTCATTTTTCTCCTATATAAATGTTGAATTCTATTATCCAGTCTTGAATAGGATTGTTTCATAGGAGAAACCTGTACTTTAGCAAAAAAAAAAGTTGAATTCTATTAATCACATTTAGTGCGACATGCCTATGGATATATTAAGTTCATGACCTTTTAATTTTTGTTGGACAAAATAATCATAATATTTATATATTTAATAATTATGAAAAGACAATATTAGCAAAATTAAATTTATTGCCACCTGAGGATAATTTATATTTGAATGATAAGAGTAGAGTGAAGTGGTGTTAGGGTAATATAATAGTCTGTGTTAAAACCATTTCGGATATAAACAAAAAGATAAATAAATTCTGTTCAACTTCTCAAGTCACCATGGGAACCCACTCTATTATTAAAGGCCACCTCATGGACACACATACTGGTAGGGCTTTACATGGGCAGGACAAGCCCCTTGCCAATGTTCAACACAAAAGATGAGAGAACTGCGTTTTGCAGCCCACTGTCCCATCCTACCCAGTAGAAGTCCTAACCATTTTGGACAGGGCAAAGGCAGACTGGGTAGGGCAGGCTTTTTGGCCCAATTTAATGACAGTATGCCCTATATCATATATATAAAATTCAATTATCATGTTTTGAGACAAGTGAAAAGAAAAAAAATTATCATGAATGAGTCTATCACTCATAGATATAAGACTTACGTAGTCTTGTTCTTCAACTTTTGATTTCTTATGGGAGCTAAAAAAAATATTTAATAATTAGAACATTTAATAATTAAGCTAAATCAATAGTCCAATTCTTAGTTTATTTATTCATATAATTGGCGGATTTTTATAATCATATGAAAGCACAAAATTTGAAAGGTGGTTTTATTTTTCTTTTTTTTTTTTGTTTCAAAAAATTGGATGTAAGAGAAAAAAGGAAATTTGACTTGGAGTAATTTAGCACATTGAATCTTACATTTTGATATTTGGCTCTTTTATATAATTATAATTTTTATGTTCCTTTCATTTTTTCTAATTTTATCTAATTTTTTTAGCCAAAATAAAAGAGACAATTACTTGAAATAATATTATCTTATATATATAATTATATATTTTTTCGGATATGGCTAAATGGGCAGGGCAGCATACTTTGCCTGTGGTCCTGCCCTGCCCATGAATCAGCCCGGCCCAAAGATGTCCATTTTTGTTCGGGCAGCTTTTTACTGAGCTGGGTTGGGCGCTTTTCTTGAGGGATCGGGCAGGCTCATTGGGCATGCGGGTCTCATGCACACCCCTACATACTAGAGAGGAGTTAGATAGTGTTGATTTTTCTTCGAGCGCCAATAGCTTGTTTATTAGGAAAATTATAATGAAGTTTTAAGGAAGAAAAATAATTGTAAAATAAGTCTTATAAGTTGTCATTCTATACTCTAAAACTTATCATTACAGACTGATTAGATTGTTAGTGAGACTTTTTTTTTTTTTGAGATTTGATTATAATTCTGCCTTATTTATTTGTATTCTTTGGAAAAAGCGCCTCGGTGGCAAGAGCATGATCGCCTTGTGTATTTTATATTTGAAAATTTTTAGCCATTGTTTTTATTGGGTATGCAGGAGCACGTATTTGTTTAGGATCGTAACTATCTATCTCTACATGATTAATCTCGTTTCTTTGCTTTCGTATTTGGCTAACCAAGTAGCAATTTCTGGGTTTTCAAGGAAAAGTTCCAATTGGTTCACATCACAAAAAAGTGTAACCTCCGACGATGAGGCGAAGTGTGAACAGTTGAGTAGGAGGAGGCTTGGACAGCGAATGGTGGATGATACCACTGCGGACTCTGAGGAAGATGCATGGCTGTGTAAAGGACACACATTCACGCAACCTTTAGAGAGCAAAGAAGAAGGATAAAGTGTAGGGTTCAGGCTTAGCATCATCTTCTTCTAGCTTCCAAGCTCCCCTCCCTCAAGAATGTCGCGTCTTTCCATCTCTAAAAGTGACTTCATTCCTATCCGCGAAATCCTTGTAAACTCATTGAAACTGACACTTGCGTATCAAACAGAGCCTGCATTTTCATCCAAATAACGGAGATGTATTTTATTTTTTTATAAATGAAAAACAACATATATATATATATATCATCATTTTATGAATAGAATTATTTTTATTTTTTATATATAAAAAGAGACGTAAGATCTGGAGTATTATTGTTAAGTATGAATCGTTTGGACATGGGAGAAAAAAGATAGAAGAAAAGGCATTGCTTGAAAAGAACAGGTTATCAGAAGTAAAGAAGTTTCATATAGTTTCCCTTACTATGACCCACATCTGGTAGATATGGTGCGCTAGAATTCAAGGCCAAGTCAAAGTCTTTTCTACATCTTTAGCACAATGGTGCGATCCACGCCAACTAGTCTATATATTTTTCTGGTCTTATTTATAAGACAGAGAGAAAAAACATTTTTTTATGTTTATAAGGTGAGATAAATTTTTTGTATAAATATACAATTTTACAATTCATTTATTATTATGTTAACTTTGTTTGCATGAGGTATGATGTATATTAAATATGGATAAAATTGAAAAGTTATTGAATTTTAAATGAGAGTTAATAAAATTTAAGATTTTTCTTAATCCATATGAAATATATTGAAAGTGTTTATAAATAGGACCGAAAGAATATTTTTCATCGATACGCTAAAAGCAAGAGGGAAAGGCAGGGCTAGGTTATCTCACGAAACTATCACATGAATAAAAGCCCCCATAACATGAAGATAGATAGCTGTGCATATCACATACCAAATTACCAATTATCCAACCACCCACCACTTCCCTTCTTCACTTCAGCATTAGTTCTTTGTACATCTAACAAAAATTGCCATTCATTTCTTCTGGTCATCAAACAAAGATCATTCCCATGTCAAATTTTTCCAGCACCGGCAGATAAATTCTCTTTCATATTGATTACCATATCTAAGAACTGCTAAATTACAACCAAATTCAGTTGCTCTGCTTTTTTATCTCAAAAAGGGTGAGAGACATAAAGTGGTAGTAACCAGTAGTGCTAGTCTATTTGTTCAGAGACACGAGCAAAAGAAAGAAGCAATCAAACTCACCAATACGCATATAGAAGTATCGTTGTCCTTCGTCTTTTGGTGACTGGGGACCCATCCCAAATGTCTTTGCATTTGCGTGCTCAGAAGCTGGACCAGTGTGTGTTCAAAGCAGACCCACACAGAGTCATAGCTGACTAAGAAGAGCAACTTCTCTTGCAACTTTTATTAAACAAGTGGCGTCTGAGAGCAATAATCAACTTTTGATTACCCCCCATTACTCCATCAACGAACGTGGGAACGAGCAAATTTCAACGTTCTCACAAACAAACAACTCCACTGTCTCCATCCTACGTGTTTATTCTGTGGATAACAAATATAGGTGCCCAATCTCAGATTAAAAAAAAAGCAAAAATCTAGTGAGAATTGGATGCTAACTAATTTACCACAGAAAAGTCATTCACAATTCCATTTAATTTCTTGTAATTATCAAGTATTAACCAAATCTTTCTACATGATTCAAAACAGCATCAAGCTGAAGCAATTTTGTTCTTGTAAACAAAATCCGAAAGGGGAAAAAACTAAAAGAGAAGATCATAACTAGAATTGAAGGTCGATTCTAATTGGTGGTTCCTGAATCAAAATCTCTGGAAACGAAGAATCAACTTCAACTTTGATAGAAGCTCTGCAGAGTGGGCAACTGGAGTGATTAATAAGCCAGTTATCGACACACTGACAGTGGAAACAATGATTGCATCCGGGCAAGACCTTCAATTTCTCGCCATCTTCGAACACGCTAAGGCAAATACAACACTCTGTTTCCTCCAATGCGCAATGGGAGTCCGACGGCGCCTGGTGCAAGATTATCGGCAATTTCTTGATCGAATCAAGGTCGAGACCTTGCGACGGCGGAGATGCCGCGTGCCGCACCTGACTAGAGTGGAAAGTAGTCGGAAGGTGGTCCCGGTACCGGCAGATCCATCGAGCGCAGAGGAAGAGAAGAATAATTAGAAGGATCAAACAGAAAAGAAAGATGATGAACAATACTTTTCTGCTTCGGACTTCGAGGTTATGGTTATCCAGCTCTGTATAGTGCCAATTGAACACCTGAGCATATTGCTGGCTTGTCATGGTGATTCTGCTGCAGCGGAGATAGCAACGGCGTCAAGGTTGGCGTTGGAGGAGGCGGCCGTGACGGTGGCGGACTGTCGGTGGCTGTGTATGGCGGTGGAAGAGAACTAGAACAGCGGTGAAATCGCCGTGTCATAAAGTGTGAACAGTAGTGCGGTCACAGTGACGACGCTGCTACTGCCCTGAGTGCTTACTCGGCTAGTGGGTGTGGAAGCATCGGGCCAACCTGACTTATATAGTTACGTTTCGAGAGTAGACACACTCGCAGACAGAGCGCGTGGCGAATTTCGTATATTAAATTAAAGGGTGCGATTTAAAACCACTGACATTTTTTTAATATTTTTACTTTTTCTTGCACTTTTTGAAAAGTATAACAAATTTTATAATCTACATTTTTAAATGCAATATATTAGGCTCATGTTCATGGGGGAAAAATTATAAAAGTTAGATTGAATGACATTATAGTAAGTAATAATTTCATAACCTTGTCAAAAAAAATTTTTATAACAGATTGTTTAATTTTTAATAAAAATATAATAAGCATGCAAATTTTAATAAAATTTCAATTATGTTAAATTAAATTACTTAAAAGCATGCATTTATCTTAAAAATATGCATTACTAGTTCACCATTATGAAATTTAAATGTTTCTTACAAAGTTTGAGAGTATCAAAATTATTATTGACACTTCTCAAAATTACTTCTGATTCTTCTTAAAGTTGCTATTTACTGTGTTATAAGATTTTTTTTTCCAGTTTATATCTATGCAAAATAAGTTTATAATTTCAGAAAATAAATATATGATACACTTTCTAAAATTATAGCAATTATTGTTATTATATGCAAGAATCCAAGCCTATTATATTTTTATTTGTCAAAATATGTAAGAGTGTGATTCCTTACTGTATAAGAAAAACATGCTTGGTGTCACATCCAAAGGAAAAAAGAAGAAAGAATTGAAGTGACAAATTCATATTTGCTTTTTGCTGGCCAAACAAAGCCATTTTGCTTTTTATGTTCGGTTATGTCTATTTTACTTTTTATTGCAGGAGGAAAAAAAAAATAGTTTGACAATATAAATTGAAGAATAGTTCATTTGCCGTGCAAGAACAACAAAGCGTATTGTAGCCATTAATAATCTTATATAAAAGATTAAGGTAATCAAAATAATCATACATTGTATAAAGTAAATAATCTTTAATATTTAAATAATTGTAACACACAAACTGGTGATCAATATAGCCCAATACCCAGTTTTGATACTTAATTGCAATTTTTTACGTGTTTAATGGAATAATCTGATATTTAAATGTACAACATAGCTATAACCCAGACAAATTGTGTATTATTTTAGACTGGGAAAAAAAGATCTTACAACACCATTAATTAACTTGATTTTTTTTTTAAAATACCAGGGCAAAAGTGATCTGACAATCTTTGAGCAGGTTCTATATCACATTTTTGTGAAGCAATTTATAATCGCATAGGACTTTAAGGTCACATTTAGTAGCAGTGAAAGTGTTTTTGATTAAGGAATGAGAAAGGGAGTAGGAACTAAAACGGGGAAAACAAACTGACCTTTAATGAAACTAATTTACGTGTCCGGTATAAAATATGAATGAAGGAATAAAAACATTTAAAACACGAAAGTTGAAAAGCCAAACGAATGATACAAATATTGCTGGTTAAAAAATAGATATAATTAGTCTTACACTACAAACGCATCGTTTTTAAGAAATACGGAATTTTCTTAGCTACACTTAATGAAAGTGCTCCTTTCTATGCTTAATTCCAATGGAATAATTATCATGTCCTATCGAATACTATGTTACAAGAGGGAGTTTCTCTTTTGGTCTCCTTTTCTAAATTTATAATGAGAACCTAAACTCATAAGGTAAACTACTCAAATAATCAAATCTTAAGATTTTTCCTCATTAGCCTGATAAAAAAAACTTAAAAATATATCATACATGATTTTTTTTTTGGCAAACAATACATCATACGTGATTTTAACTTAAATCGGAAAATAACACTAATCGAAATATATTTTTTTAAACTTAAACTCACTTGCATGCATTTCATTATACTGAAAGTTAATAAACATAATGAAGCACCAAAAAATTAAAAAAAAATTTTATCTAGGAACATCAAATGTTCTTTTAAGTAAGCTAAAGGTGAAAATAAATTTATATAACAAACATGTATAGTGTTATCCTTATCAACTTGATGAAGGTTAAAATTGGAGAAAAAGACAAAAGAACAACAATAAAACACATTATAAAAAATAAAAAATAAAAAATAAAAAAACTCGAACTTTTCTTTACCAAATGGCTAGTGTGTACTTTTTTGTTTCTGGACCAAGGCCAGTATGTGTACTTTATAACGTGTCTCTAGAATCCTCATTAGTCTTTCCGCACACTGGTGTCTGTGATGGGAAATAAAACTGCTAGACTCTTCACTCCTTTTAAGCCTCTTTTTTTTTTTTTTTGACCGGATTCCTTTTAAGCCTCTTTAAACAATATAATATATAATACTTTATTTAAAGAAGTAAACCACTCCTCTAAATTGAAGCGAAAATTGCAATACGAGGTCTAAAAAAAGAAAATAATTGTCAATAAATCCCAGTTATAAGCTAACAGTTGTCAATTATTACCTCAAAATTTGTCATTGCATGTCACTCTTATTGTTACTAAAAAAATTTAACAATTATGTTCCCTACTGCTGACAAAAACCTGTTATGTTTTTTTACTTGAAATTTCATAGTGCTCGTAATTGTTAAAAGCTCACTATTGTTTTGATTCCTGAGTAGTATTAATGCTTTTTCCTTTTTTGAAAGTTTCATCCTTATTATCATCTTCTTTTTTTTTTTTTTTTTTTTCTTTCTTTCTCTTTGTCTGCCTGCACTCTCAAGCTGGAGATGAACCGCCGAAATCTGAGGTCTGGACTACGGATGAACATATATAGGAAAAAGATGGCGACTCCGTATAAGAGCATGTACAACTTTTTTTGTTTTCTTAAATAATCAAATACACATGCACACAAATATATTAGTCTCATATATATTTGAGTCTAAGACTTCTTCTAAGAGTCCATTTAAAATCACGATTAAAAGTATTTATAAATATACGGAAGTTAATATAAAATTTTTTCATATATTTACCTTATATCTATAAATTATAATTAAAAAACTATTTATAAGCTATTTCAAATAACCCCTTAGAGTATAGTATAGTAAATGCATGGTGCTACTATTATGGCAAATTGCCATGGACTAACACGCACAACTTTAAAATAAGATGACTTATTAATATTTTATTTTTTATATTACTTTTAATCATTAATATAAGAGCTAGATAATTAATCATGAGATTAAAAAAATTAGCTAGGTTGATTAATTATAACAAATGTTTGTTGATTTTATTAAACTACCCTCCTTAATCATGTGAATGGGAACTATTTCTTTTGGTGGGAAGTGGGAAACCCTTATATATAATCAATTAGGGGATTTTAGATATAAAATATTATATAGATTTAGGAGATAAAGTTGATTCAGGTTCTATACTTATAACCAAATATAATCTTTCCATAAACTTTTATATTAAGAATCGACGATAGTATTAGTTTATATTTTTAAATTTTTCCTTTAATGAGTTTTATTGTGGTACCTCATACCTGCAAAAACAATAAGTTCACCGAGTTTGATCAAATTAATGAGAAAAGAGCTTCCTCTTTTTTCTTTTTTTTTTTGACCAGCAGAAAAGAGCTTCATTGAGTTTACCCACATAACAAGTTTAATAATAATAGATTTTTTTTAATATAAAGTTACACGTGTAATCAAACAACTTTGACGAGATTATGTCAGAAGGACATACGACCGAAAGTCCTGGCGTGTTAAAGTACTACTTTATATTTTTAATATAAAATCCAAAGTTGCAACAATTATATTGCCTTATATTTTTAATATAAAAACTAATTTAATATTTAATTTATTTTTAAATATAAAATCTTAATATATTTTATCTTTCATATTTATCTATTTTTTTAAAATAATCTTTGTAATAATTATACATGTTAAAGGTACTATTAAATAATAGTTTAACTAATATGTATAATTAGTAAGAGTATTTTAAGGGTAATTTTTCATGGAGCAATACCGGATAAGTCAGAAATTATAGCAGAGTTTTTCGTTTGTTTGTTGAAACCAGCATTATAGTAGAGTTTAGCAGTAGATAATCTGGATCTGAGAACACACGTGTTCATGACACGTTGAGGTTAGCAAATAAAGAAAAACAACGTTGTTGGATTGTCATTTGCTGCTATCTTATTTTAATTATTATACTCCTCCGGTCCTTAATATAGGACCCAATTCTTGTGTTGGTTTTGGTCCTAAATATAAGACCTCTTTCTTATATTTATCAATTTTCTCTAAATTACCCCTATGGATACTCCCTCAACCATAATCAAGTAGAAGAAGGAGAGGGGGTATTAAGAAAGATGATTATGGTGTTTTAGGAAAAATGTGTCACTTTTCTTATAATTAACTAACTTACCTAACTTACTTAATCTAATCAAATTAATTAAATGGGTCTTATATTAAGGACCGGATGAGTATTAAACAAATTATTATTCACATAAAGTTGCTTGTCGGACCACGACAATTATATTGTGAACGGGGAACCACGCATGTGGCTCGCGGCTCATTAGCTTGTTTCGCATTATAATTTATAATTAATTAAAACTGATAACCATCACCCAACAACTGTCAAAAACCAATTACATGGCCGTAATTATATTAAATTCATCCACTTTACGCACCTAATGACAAACAAAACTCTCCCACTGACTCACGTTCTAGATAAGATCAGAACGTTCAACTTTTTTAACTCTTCACGTTTTATTAATAATTATATATATTTGCAGGCGCCCATTTTTCTGGGGATTTCCACTCCCCATTGCTTGGTTTTTATTTTGCGGAGGGTATATAATATAATATCCAAATTTGACGTCTTTAGCCGACATTAAAGGATAATTACTTCATCGTAATTATTGTATTATTATCAGCAATTAATCGCATATTGTTTAAGTTGGTAAACCTTAAACACTCGAATAGTCGAGTCCACATTCACATTCAAGCCCCCCGAAAAAACAACTCACGTTCAGATAAGATGGGTGCAGGCGCACGTTTTATTCGAAGTTTGAATT